TTTTCTAATTTGATTCTATGAGCTTTTATAACTTACACATACTAACAAAATGTATCTCCTTGCTTCAACAAAATATTAAAACACATAATCAATTCTGGTTTTAAAGATGATGAAAACAGCGAGAAACCATTCTGAAGAAATCTGGAGGTATTAGAACATGAATGTTTCCTGTTTCAGGGGGAAAAGGATATTTAAATACAGTACTCTTTTCTCACCAAAGTATCTAATGATGTTAGGTTTGGACCATGACTTCTCTCTAGCATTTATCATTACTTATTATCGATCACTTTCTTTTCTAGCCTCACATCCTTGGTTTTCTGTTTCTTATCTACAGATATTACATTTTCAGTTCTCATATCTTGCTTTTATTCTCTTGAAAGATCATTCCTGTCAAGACCTTCAACTATTATCACCATTTAGACAAATGCCTCACTCTTTACTCACATTCTGAAATGAAAAAGAACTGCCTGGATATTCTGTAACTTGTTGGTGTTAGGTGCTGTTGAGTTCACTACTGCTCTAGCAACCCAATGAACAAAGACTAACAATGAACAAAGACTGTCAATCTTTTCTCCATACATCATGATGTTGCCTGTTGGTACAGTGGTTAGGAGTGTTTTCATGATGCTGAAATATAATCTATATTGAAGGCCAAAGTCTTCGATCTTGCTCAGTAAGTGCTTCAAGTCTTCTTCACTTCCAACTGCAAGCAAGGCTGTATCATCTGCATAACACAGGTAACTGATGACTCTTCCGTTAATTTACTTTATTTTTTTTTATGAGAAGAACGGAGGTAAAAACAGAGGGCCAGCAGTTCTCTGACTGAAGGGCCCAATCTTAGCTTTCCTGTATCTTTATTGAAAATTATCAGGAAGTAAATCACAAAGAGAATTCAATGTAAATGAAGCCAACCTCTTTCTACTGAAAACCTTCCCCTTGAGTCAGGAGGTTTTCCTGTAATCTTAAGGCAACATTCCACTTCCTGTAGTCCACTTTCTTGAATGATCTGCTCAGCATATATACTGAATAGGTATGGACAAAGGCTACAATCTTGATGCACAACTTTCCTAATTCTAAACCATGCAGTGTTCTCTTATTTTGATGAATTCTTGGCTAGGTATAGGCTTCACATGGGCACAATTAAGTGTTTTGGAATTCCGACTCTTATCAATGTTATCTTTAATTTGTTATGATTTACATAATCTTTCCATAGTCAATAAAAAAACACCTTTCTGGTATTCTCTGCTTTTAGACAAGATCAATTGATATTAAAAAAAAATTGATAACCTTCATTCTGTGGCCTCTTTGTAACACTATTCTGATGTGCTGTCAAACTGAAACTAACTCATAGTTCACACTCCAGTAGGTTTTGAGACTCTATGAATCACACAGTAAGAGACCTTCCAAATTCCTCCCATGAAACAGCTGGTGGATGCAAACCATGTGCATTTGAGTTGGTAGTCCAACTCCTTACTAGTCCACTAGAGCTCCCGTTTGTAATATTAGTCTCACAGATTAAACAAGGAAAAACTCTAGTGTGATAAGAAAAAGGATAAAAAGGTAAATATGTTTTATTTAGAAAATACTGACATAATCAATGTACTGACCCTTTAAAGGACCTGGACAACTGAAAAACTTTAAAGGGGCGACGCAGCGCGAGGGCGAGGCCGCCAGTCGGGTGAACGCATGCCGTAGCCCGCCAGACCGGGGAACGCCGCCCCCAGACGAGGGAACGCTGCGAGAGGGACCCGGAAGAGACCCGGAAAGAACAACAACCAGCCACCTACCATGGAATTCCAGAGGAGCGAAGACTGTGAGGCCCCAGAGGAACGAACACTACCGGACACTGTGGGACACCCCTGCAACCCACACCTGTTTGACCCTTAACACACAGGGTGCTGCTGCATAAACCCCCAGCAGCGCACAAGCCCCGTCCCCACCTC